AAGCGTGGCAGCAGCACCTGCGCTTCAGACAAACGCCCGGCGAAGTCCGGAGAAGGGATGTATCAGACGCATCTCTCCACAGCTTCGCAGGAACGACCACGATCGATACGGGCAGGTGCGTGAGTGTCCGTGGGAGTGACTGAGAGTCTCAGGTCAGCTCTGCGACACGTCTCCATCTCAGGGCGACAGGACCACAGCAGGTGTGCACCGGGAGCCCCACCAGGAAGCCCACCGGGAAGCCCACCGGGAAGCCCACCGGGAGCACCTGACCCCGACCCTGCCCTTGCTGTTGCCGGCTGCTGTTGTCCATCCTTCCGGCTGAATCGGCAGCCGAGGGCTCTGCGTGCAATCACGGCGCCTCTCTCCGCGGCCCGATCCTGCCCAGTCCCGTGGAATGCGGTCTCTGACGGGAAGGGGCAAAAGAACGAAATTCAGCCGTTTCTGTTCACTACGGAGAGACGAAATCTACGAAGGGGAGCCCTTCCCTTCTACGGCAGGAGTAGCAAGTAACAAGCTGAAGTCTGAACCAGGAAGACCAAAACGCTGCCTCTTCATGACAAGTCCTGACGATGACATTTGGCCACCGGTAAGGAGCCAAAAATTTTACCCACCCAGCATCACGCCTGCTGCAGAGGGGACTATTAAATCCAGCTGGGCAAGAAGAAGTGAAACAAAGAAACTTAGGATGTGCAGCAAAGACGGGAAAGTTTGCAAAACTGTTCCCTCCAATAAGACTCTGTAAACACAAAGCATCCCTGTCACGGGAGTCCAAAAATACCAGGAATTTCACCTTCAGTTAACACGCACTCAATGTTTACCCCAGAGACTTCCACATGGCAGGAAGGAAAAGCAGCGCGTCCCACCCGACGCGTGCACAGCGCAGTACGGCTGTGGCGGCATCGTGCGCTGCTCGCAAGGGAGGCACAGGGGCGGACTCGGGATCGAGCCATCCGGGGGCCACATTCCTGCCCCTCGTGGACACACCAGCTCAGGGACCCTCTCCCAGGCTGGGAGCAGGACACTGTGGACTCCGGTTCTGGTGCCAACTCCAGTACCGACAGGACGGGCTCCGTTTCCAGGAGGCTCACCACACGCGAGGCCCAACACAGGAAGCGTGGCAAGGACAGCAGGCCCCACACCACAAGGGAGGAAACCGCCACTCACAGGGGCCGAGAGAATCCGCGTGTCTGGTCCCAAGGTCACGAGCCTGCACCAGCTACACTGTCCCTCAGTCCCTCAACGATACACACCACGTGCACTGGGCAAAGGCTGAGTCTTCCCCGTGCCTCAGTTTCCTCATGGGGACAACAGGAGGACAGGGAAGGTATCTTAGTTCCCTCTCACTCTAAAATGCCATGATTCTATCTTGAGTCAAAAGACAAAGAGAACAAATCAAGTGTTTGAACTTCCCTAGTAAATCGCAGTGTCTACGCGACGTCTGTTTCACAACAGTACTGCGTACGTATATCCCACGTGTCTCTCGGTGATGGGAAGCCGCGCGGATCGTCTTCTGCGTCGTCCGTCTTTTTTCGGATGATGAGTTCTTCTGGTGGGGTGGTCGGAGGTGGTGGTGCTGACGCCGGTGGTAGCATGTTGTTCCGGATGATCATTGTTGTCGGCTGTTCCTGCTGCAATCATCCTTCCTTTCTTCTCGCCATTCTTTCTTCTTGCTGATTACTAAGGCAGCGCGGTGCTGCTGCGGTGTTGTGCGTTGTTATCGTGGTGGTGTTGTGGCTGGTTGGTCGGGGGGTGTTGCTGCTGCTAGGTGCTGGCGGCGCGAGGCTGTTTTCCTGTTGTTGTTGTGTTTTTTTTCTTCGTTTTTTTCGTGAAGGTTGTTGCTTTTTTTTGCTGCCGAATAATATTGTATGATGGTTTTTTTCCTCTTGTTTCTTCTTCCGTTGTTCGTCGGTGCTTATTGTTGTGCGCCGCTGCGAGGGTCGTTGCTGCTCCTCCTCTTCTGCGGGTGTTCTTGGTGGCTGATGCCGGCTGTTCTTTCTTTGGTGTCCTCTGTCTGCGGTGTCGGGTCTCGGCAGACCCAGTCTGCCCGTTCCCTGCACGCTCTGTGGCTCCTTCCACGGAGCCGCGTGGGCTGGCGCAGGCAGGGGCAGAGAGCGGCTCTGGGCTTCCCCGGGCTGACCCTCCCGCCGCCTGTCGCTCTGGTGCTTCCTGAGCCGTGGCCGGTCTGTGCGTGGACACTCGAGATGTTCCTGAAATGAACCCTGGACTGCAGGCAAGACCGAGAAGCCGGCAGGCCCGACTGAGCCATTCTGCCCAGATACCGAGAGAGCTGCCCCTGACTTCTGCTCCCACTGATGCTGCGTGCTCATGGCGCGGGGGCCCACACCCCGGGCCCTGCGGGATCGCCGCTCCCAGCTGCCTCTGTGTCCTGGTCCACCCGCCAGGTGGCTCCTCCCTATCTACACCCTGAACTTCCCTTGGTCTCATCTGGTCGTTTTCTCTGCTCCTTGGCCCATAAACCCCTTCTCTGCATCATTTTCAGCCTCTTCACGGGCCCAGTGATGAAGCGCTGTGTTAAGGTAACAGTTCCTCCCAGCTCCCGACGCTGCTTCATACAGAGCTCGGACAGCTCTCCAGGGAGCAGAAATCAGCGCCACACAAAAGCTCCCCCGTGCCTGGCAGGCTGGACCGCCACAGGAACAGCCCTCCCTGCCCACCCCACGTCCGCTCACTTTCATCAGCCAGAGAACTCCTGTTATCTTCTGTTCCTCAATTTCAACATACTCGCTCTAACAATTTTACCAGTCATCCCGTCAAAGTTCTATGAGAATCTAAAATAACTTAAATGTTTAAAAACCTAAGTAATCTTTTTAGTAACAGGAAAGGCATGCATTTTCCAAAGTTGTATGCATTTTTTAAGGAAAAAAAGGCAAGCTACAGATCAAAACATAGGATCCAAAACACCCAGTTTCTTTTCCAAAGTAGCTGTTTCAAAGGCCTTGGCCAAACCCTACGATCGGAGTGTTTTGAGAGTAGTTAAATCAATGTAACATGATCTCTCTCCTTAAGGAACATCTGTGAATCAGTAATTTAATGCTACACCAAACCACTAAAGATTCCTGCTATGATAGGAAAGTTTGTATTTTTAGGTGGAAAGATACTGTCCTTGGGGATTACAAAAAGCGACCTCTGTAGACCTCCAAGGCTCTTCAATATTTCATGACTCTGTCCTGTCATAAATTTCTCTCCTCTCTCAGTAAGTTATAATATCCTATTTATTCTATTGCCAACTTTTTGTTAAATTTAATGATATATATCTTGTTATAGCATCACCTGAGGCATATATTAAATTTCTCAAAAAATAAGTTACACGCAGAGAAAATAAATACAATGTCTTTAGGAAGTAATAGTCTCTAAAATGTAATGAACCTGAGAAGAAAAAAGAAGAGTAAATTCCAATTTATAATGAAAATAATCTGGATCCTTCCATCCTCTGGACTGTGAAAGCACCACGGACTCAACTTACTGACTCCTTGACCACCACAACGGATGGGGGTGCAGCCCAGGAGATTTTCCAAAGATTAAAATATTTCTCTTCCAAGGAGAAAAAAATATACAGTGCTAGCCTAACATTTTATCTGACGTGTGCTCCAAAAGGTAGTTGTAGTACTACTGGAACACAGCAGTAACATCTATAGTTGTAAAAATAAAAAGGGAAAACCAAGAATTAAAACACGCCAACCAGGGGTCACAACTGGGTCAACGAGGTTTGCATGATAAATTATTAGGGGAGTCCCACAGAACTGATGGAATGAGCAGTGCGTTTTCAGAGAATACCAGGTTCCCCTGCTCCTCCCGAGAAGTGACACGGGGCCGGTGCGTAACACATCAGCACGCACTGACAGCTGTGCGCAGATTCCGCGCAGGTTGCTCCGAGAATCAGAGCAACGACTTGTTTTCTACATTTTTGTTGATTCCACATGCATTTGAGTGTAAGAGACCCTCATATAACACAGGTATAAACCTGTAGTAATTAAACTCTGCTCCAAAGACTTGGCAAAATCTCTAACAAGGAAAAAATAGCGTTGATTTCTATCTGGTTTTGAAGAAGTGCGCGACAGTCGTCTTTCTCACTACGGAACGCAAGCAGCCCTACACCTGGCTGTGGTTTCCACCTGTCCTAAGCTCTCAGGTGAAAGCAATACCTGTTAACCAGTTTGCAGGGAGCAGAGAAAAACACCCCTGGCTTTGTGGAGAAAGTTACAAGTTCTGTAACTGAAACATCACCTTCCACTTAAAACAATTACCCAAAGCAACAACTAATGAAGGAAATTCCAAAATGTTTAAAATTTATAAAAAGTAGAAGAATTACAAAAGCAAAGTTGGTCAGGCATCTTTAAATATGTACCTAGCTGCTATTTGGAAAGTCATCTGTTCCAATCAACTGTCTCTAAACCCACAGGGTTACTTGAATCCAAGGAGATTAATTTTAGGTGCACACCGGTATGAAGATACTCGCATTCCCGACTGTTTGGTATAAGAGAGGAAGAGAGCTGAGGGAAGTCCACATGCGTGTGTGGGAGTGTGTGTGTGCAAGCATGTGCGTGCACATGCCATCTGTCACATGGTAAGACCTGGTAGTGGGACAGAAAAGGAAGAGAGGGGCACATTCAGAGGGGTCCCTGACCACATTCTTTGCTCATGTTACCGATGCCCAGGAGAGACCATCATCAACTCAAGAGGCCATGGGTGCTCATCTGTGCAAAGGCAGATGAGTAATTACCAAGTGAGCCCACAGGTGCTGAGTCTGCAACCCGCCAGCGAAAACTCTAGGTACAGGCTGGAGGCGAGATACCCAGGTGGGGGGCCACCTGGGCACAGGGACCCTGGGCAAGAGCCACCCGGGCATGGTCTACCTGGGCACAGGGCCCCATGAGCACGGAGTTACGAGGGTGCAGGTCCATTTGGGTGAGGGACCACCCCAGCCCAGGCTCTCGGGTTAGGGTTACCTGGAGCAGAGCCACCTGGGTACGCTTGCTCACCTGGTGCGGCTTCTGGGGCGCCCTCCTCGCCGCTGTCTTCGGAGCCTGGGGAGTCGGCGGTGGCACAGGCGGAGCTGGGGCTGCTGGGCTGGGAGGCCGAGTCGCCCTCGCTGAGCGAGCCGCAGCGGGTGCGCGCGGGCCTTTCGCCGTTGCCGTCCCTGTCCCGGCGCGCGCGGCGGTGCACGCGGGAGTGCAGCACCATCTGGTGGTAGGTGCGGAAGATCTTGCCGCACTCGAAACACTCGGAGGACTTGCCCTGGCCGGTGGTGGCCGCCGCCCTGCGGCTGGGGCGCGCGGCCGGCCGGGGGTCGAGGTGTCCGGGCAGCATGGGGTCCCCGGGCATGCTCGCCCTCTTCCTGGGGGGGCCCTGCGTGGGCGGCGCATCCTGCTCGCGCTTGCGCTTCTCCTGGCTCACCAGGATGTACTCGCGCCTGTCCTTGTCGAAGGCCACGTCCCCGGCCAGCGCCTCGTCCCAGGCCCCGTACTTGAGGTACTCAGCCGGCTCGGCCACCTTGCCCCTGGTGGCCAGCTGCCAGGCCTGGTAGCTGTTGACGGGGTCCAGCTCCGCCACCCGCCTCCCAGCCTGCCCGCCGGGGGTCACGTCGCCGGCCACCGAGGGCCTCAGGTTCAGGCACTGTAGGAAGAACTGCTTGGTGTCCGAGGGGCCCTCCGCGGCCCCCTCCTCGGCCGGGGCCCGCGTCCGGCTGGCCTCGACCTTGCGGTGTATGGCGTTATGGGCGTTCAAGCTGTCCAGGTTTGTAAACAGGTTCCCACACTTGGTGCAGACTTCGTAGAGGGACAGGCCGGTGACGATCACCTCCTCCTGGACCACGTTGTTGATGGTGGCGATGAGGTCCAGCTCGCTCCGGGGCCGGTTCTTGCTCCCGATCTTGGGGCCGTGCGCCTTCATGTGGTTCTTGAGGAACCACGGCTCCTTGAACCTGCGGCCACAGATGTGGCAGCCGTGGTCGAAGGAGCCCCTGTGCTTCTTCATGTGCGCCTTCAGGAACCAGGTCTGGCTGAAGGCCTGGCCGCACACCTCGCAGGGGAACTCGCCGGGGCTCAGCTCGGGCTTGCCGTTCTCCGCGCACGCCTCGCCGCCGTTGGGCACCTGCGCCGTGATGTGGTCCCTCTCGATGTGGCTCAGCAGCGACTCCTCCCGCAGGGTCACGTAGCTGCACAGCCGGCACTTGAACGGCTTGTGCGCCTGGTGCACGTGCAGCTCCAGGTCCTTCTTGCGCTCGAACCGGCTCTCGCAGAAGGAGCACTGGGCCGTGGCCTTGGCCTCCTCCGGCGCGCACGCGGCCTCCGCGCCCTTCCTGCTCCGCAGCAGGAGCCTGCTGCCGTCCGCCGCCGCCCCGTTCAGGACCCTGCTGCCGTCCGCCGCCCCGTTCAGGAGCCTGTTGCAGGCCGACGTGCTCTTCGTGGGGCTGGCGCAGGCGTCCAGGCCCTCGGACACGCGCATCTCGCCCAGCTGGGCCTCGCCCGCCTCGGGCTCGTGTCCCTGAATCAAAGTCCCCGTGCGGTGGCTGCGGATGTGAATCTTCAGGTTGCCCTTCTGGGAAGCCCTGTGGTCGCAGTAGGGACACTTGTAGGGCTTCTCGCCCGTGTGCTTGCGCATGTGCTGCGAAAGCGAGCTCTGGAAGGGGAAGCTCTTGCCACAGATGCAGCAGCTGTGGCACGTGGCCTTGTCCCCGTCCGCCTCGTGGCCCCTGCCAGCCCTGGTGGGGCTGGGGCCCCGCCTCAGCTCCATCTCGGCTTCTCTGCTGCGATCCATCCGAGGGACAGCGCGGCGCGGGTGGCGGCACGGCTTCGTGTCGCAGGGCGCCGCGACGGTGTCCTATCTCTCCATTCTCAGGAGAGCTGGCGGCTTCCCCGACGACGCGCTGCTATGAGGGGCGCGCGTTCACGTGGAGAGCATGGCAGGGGCGGCCAGCACCTGAAACACACATGGAGTCCCGTGAGCAACGCTGCGCACCGACCCACGCAGGCATCCCATAAAACCGTCAATCCAGTCCAAACCAACAAAAATTCAAATAGAGGAACAAGTAGCTGTTCGCCTTCTTTAAAAAAATCAGTAACAGGCCGGGCGCGGTGGCTCACGCCTGTAATCCTAGCTCTCTGGGAGGCCGAGGCGGGCGGATTGTTTGAGCTCAGGAGTTCGAAACCAGCCTGAGCAAGAGCGAGACCCCGTCTCTACTAAAAATAGAAAGAAATTAATTGGACAACTAAAAATATATACAAAAAAAAACTAGCCGGGCATGGTGGCGCATGCCTGTAGTCCCACCTACTCGGGAGGCTGAGGCAGGAGGATCACTTGAGTCCAGGAGTTTGAGGTTGCTGTGAGCTAAGATGATGCCACAGCACTCTAGCCCGGGCAACACAGTGAGACTCTGTCTCAAAAAAAAAAAAATCAGTAACAAACGGTTATCGATAATGAATTGTGGCGTTAACTAATTAAAATAATTGTAAATGACTACGCACTAAAATCATTTTCTTTTACCAATAAGATAGCAAATCGTTAAGGAAAGACTGTGGTGCCAGTCTGCACAGGTGTGACGAACACAGGCTGCCCGGGAGGAGTCTGTGTGGCCATGAGGGACAGAGAGGAGGGACGCTCCGCAGGAGGGCGGGAGGAGGGCATAGAGCCCTGGCCCCGGCAGTGCCACCTCCTGCGCACCTGGGCTATGTGGTACGGCCCATTGCTACAGCCTGCACAGCACGTGACCCTGCGAGCGGTTTTAGCACAGTGCGAACCAACATATCTGAACATAGAAGAAGTTCAGCAAAAACAAGGCATTACGATCTGATGGGACCACCGTCCATCCTCAACACAACTCGTGACTGTACGTGATTATGTTTAAAGAAATGAGTCTTCCGTTAAGAAGTGAGAAACGACACAGCGTGCACACGGCAGCCTGAGCTCCTGAATGGGGCTGCAGGACCCTGCGGCGGAAGCTGGCCTGCCTGGCACGGCTTCCACGCGTGTCTGGCCACGAGCTCAGTCCCACATCAGCCAAGATCAGCCCGTGGCAGCTCTCTGTGCCCCTTAGGTAAAGCCTCCCGTCCTTTCCTGGCCCTGCGTGTTTGCTCCTGGACCTCCTGCCACTCTCCCCTGAAGGGACCCCAGGCTCCGGCCACAGGACTGAGTCCTAATCCCAATGCAGAGCCCATCCCAGACCCCAGAATCCCCCAGAGGCCGTGCAGCCTCTCGTTCCTGCCTCCCCACTTCCCCACGGGGCAGACACCCACGGCGTCCTCTTAACGAGACTGGGTCTCCCCAAAGGTGGGACCCGAGCCTGATGACAGCAGACACCCGTCATGCTGTCCGGCCACTGTCTCCTCAGGCCCGTCCTCCCCACGGAGAGCGGAGACGGGTCCTGCCTGAGCCCGCCCACCAGGCACACAGGCCGAGGCCAGCCAGGCAGAGCTGGTCCACGTGTCTGTGTCCTGCACAGGGCAGGCAACACCAGGGCCAGGAGACACACAGGCCAAGACGCCTGTGAGCTGCCCCATAGAGGTCCTCACCCCTTCACCACGGCGGGCCCGGCAGAGCAAAGAGGGCTCCGCAGAGCAGGGAGCCCAAACATTCCTGACTCCAGGAAGAAGTGGAAATCAAAGCTTCCCTTATAACTGGACAAGTGCATGAGCTTACCACGAACACTTCTTCGTGACAATTGACCTTAAGCTAATTTAAACTATTCTGTCAAACTTTTCTGGTCTTGGCACAAGTGTTGGAGGACGTACATTATTTATGACGATGGCTTTATAAGGCGAGTGATTTGCATGAAGCACTTTTCCCCCAGGCCTTACTTCACCACCACCCCCGGCAAAAATGCTGAATCCGAAATGAAAGTATGAATGAAACACACTATTTAACTTAGTAACTGAATCTGGTATAAAACCTTATGAGTTTAAAGAGAGAGAAGAAAAACCAACTAAAACCCTGGAAACTGGGGGCTCTGAAATAATTTTACAGACTCCATCGGGCCAATAACGTGTGTCCATAAAGGGTGTCAAAGGTCAAGACAGTTCTCGAGACTCAAACAGCCAGAAGCCGGTGCGGATTCAGAGTGGGAGCCCTTGACCAGGTGAGGGCCGTGAGGGCAGCCACGAGGGCAGCCACGAGTGCACCCTGAAGTACTAAAAGTGAGCTGCTGAGTGCACAGACTCGCCCCAATCGTCGAAACTGTGTTCTGTGGCTACCAGTGCCAGCCGCGCAGTGGCGGGGCCTCGGCCCCCACGGGCAGCCCTCATCTCTCAGGCGCGGGGTAGGGAAACACGCAAGCAAGCCAGGGTCACTGGAGCCCATAACAAGCCCCTCCGCGGGGCACCCACCACCCAGATCCCGGCACAAGGGGAACCTGAGGGCACCCCTGCCCACCCCCAGCCCAGTCCACCCTCTCTGCCTCCAAGCAGCTTTCTGCCCTATAGCCCCTCAGGCGCAGGGCGCTCTCCAGAAGTGTTTATCGCCACACAGCGTCGCCCCTGCCACTGGAACTCGGCCCCGTCCAGCCCCGATTGGCAAAAACAGGCCCGGTGTCCCAGGCCACGGCCGCCCTCCTGCACCCCTAACAGGGCCCTGCACCTCCATCTCTGCTCACTGAGCCGGCAAGCCGTTCCTGGTGACAGCCTGGACCCCCAGCCCAGCCAAAGCAGGACATGTGCCCTCAGGCAGCCCAGAGACTGGAGAACACAGTTTCCATCCTCCAAACCAGCTTAACAGCTTTGCCCCTCACTGCCAGGCCCTGCGCCCTGCGGAGAATGCCCCCGTGAGCAGAAAAAGCCGCCTTTCTCTCCCGCTTCCTCCCCTCCCTGCCCACCCCCATCTTTCAAAAACAAGCCCTGCTGGAAACCCCTGCGAGAACTGCACTAGGTGTGTCTTTGAAAGACTTAGAAACATTTTGCAGGAAGAATACATAAATGTAGAAATGCAAAAAGTACTATGAAACGGCACCAACAATTTAAGCCCACAACACCCCTACTTTACGGAACCCATGACTGGAACAAAGCTGCCCTGCTCAGGGGTTGTCAGTGGTCCCTCCTGAGGCCCTCAGTTGACTCCCGAAGTTTCTCACCAACTTTAAAGAAACAGTCAAAAATTAATTCCCTACAACTGACTCTCCTCGGGGTCACTCAGGGGCCAAATCAACAGATCTTTGTCATCACTCTTTTTAGCTGCTGGCAAAAATTGCTATTTAAGACAAGGGCACCACTTCCAAAAAAGAGCAGGAACGCGGTGCTGGGAACTTCCAACTTCCAAACGCACCGCGGGCGGCCGCCCCAATTAGAGGGATTATCAGACAGGCCCAGCTCCCCTGGCACTACTTGCTGTCTTTAAAAACCACCAGCCCCTGCCAGCAGAGGGCCTCTGACAGTGTCTCCACCTTTATTCTGGTCCCCGGCGGGCCGTGTGATGAAGTGTCACACTGCTCAGTTCTAGCCAAAGACATCTTGGTCCTGAGCTGCTCTGTTCTACGTCCTCAAAGCAGTGCGAGCTGGCGCTCCAGCTTCCCCTGAAGCACGCTGGCCTTGCGGAGCTGCTAGATGCCAGCTCGCTGCCACACCTGAGGGAACAAAGAAAGTCCTGCAGCCAGTGACACCAGTACAGGAGGGGGAGAAAGGGGGTGCCAAGTCGGGACGCATGGCAGAGAGCAAACCGAACCCACGGTCTGTCTATAACGGATCGAAGTTTTGTTGTTGTTGTATGACGCATCACAAACTTTTTCCAAGGCTAAAACTGAGAACTTGCCAGACAGAACTGTAATTTAATTGTTTAGGCATAAATATGACTTGCCGATTAGGGTTTTAAAGCAGATTTCCTGTGGATCTGTGTGTGTGTGTGCGTGTGTGCCCGTGTGCGTTTCTCTGGGATGTAATGAAGAGTTTGAAGCTACTTTTTTAAAATCCCTTATAAAATTTTTCAAATAAGAAATGTATTTCGGCCGGGCGCGGTGGCTCACGCCTGTAATCCTAGCACTCTGGGAGGCCGAGGCAGGCAGATTGTTTGAGCTCAGGAGTTCGAGACCAGCCTGAGCAAGAGCGAGACCCCATCTCTACTAAAATTAGAAAGAAATTAATTGGACAACTAAAAACATATACAAAAAACTAGCCGGGCATGGTGGCGCATGCCTGTAGTCCCAGCTACTCGGGAGGCTGAGGCAGGAGGATCGCTTGAGCCCAGGAGTTTGAGGTTGCCGTGAGCTAGGCTGACGCCACGGCACTCTAGCCCAGGCAAAAAGAGTGAGACTCTGTCTCAAAAAAAAAAAAAAGAAATATATTTCATTTTGAATAAGTTGGGTCATTTAATATTTAGAAAAATAAGAAAACATGAAATGTTGACTAAAGGGAAAATGTGTATTCATAACATAAAAATGCATTATAATGGAGAAAGGGAGGGGTGAAGAGAGGACAAGATACAAAGGCGGAAACCAAAACACGTAGCTAAACTTTAAAAAAATCACATAAACACACAAAGCACTAGATCTAAATACACACGTTAAGACCGCTGCCGTACTTAGGGACCTTCTTCTCTTTTTCTTTCTTTTTTGGTCTACACGGTACAACTGACATTAAGTGACTTCCCCGATTACTTACACTTGCTGCATTTGGGATAAATTTAATCTGTGGGCAAATGTTTCAACTCATAAATCCCTTCTGTAAGTGAGGACCCTGCGAACCTAACACAGTGCAGAAAACTCACTTCCTGACACACAGCCTGGTGAGCTGCAAAAACAGCTCCGTGCAGGGAATTGTGCGCTCAGGCCAACTCCACAACAGACACCACAGAAACTTCTTCACAAAGGGGCCTTGCAAAGCCTGAGGCCGACACAGATAGCAGGAAAGAAAACACATCGTAACAGAGCAAAGGATACACACCCAGCAGGTGTGAGAGGACAGCCAGGCTCTGAACTCCCCCAGAGGACTCCAGGAGAGCTC